ATTGTTTTAAGGCTTCATTCTAGATTTTACTTTTTATTAAGTTTACATTTTCTCTAGGTTGTAGTGAGCTGCTATCATTCTAAATATAATTATTAACAAACTTGACATTTTGGGTAGATTTTTGCAAGCTGCTAGATACAGTTATTAATTAGCATTGCTATTTTCTGCAGGTTGTCGAGAGCTGCTATGGCGAAGTTTGAGGACATCAAGGAGCAATCTGCAACGGGACTGAAGCACGCAATAGAACAACACAAGTACACAGACATACGTGTTGATCTGAAACCATCCCATGTCATTATTCCACACGGGGGATACTATAAAAAGTAAGTATGTACAATAACAACACAAGTACACAGACATACGAGTGGTCCTCAAGCCATTCCACATCATTATACCACACGAGGGATAATATAAAAAGTAAGTGAGTACATGTTTAAAAATTGTTTGGTTCTCCCGACCCACTGACTAATCAAAGTACTGAAAGTACTGAAAAGCGGTTAGCATGCTTCTGTACAGTGTAGAATAACAAAAAATGCATTGAGTGATGATATTAAAGTAAGCATGCATATCTTTGTCCAATGTCTTCAGCGAAGAAGCAGACACACTGACTTTTATAGTACTTAACTAAATGGAAAAACCAATAACATCCCAGACTGATGTCACAAATGTATGTTTCAAAATATCAACCTGAGATTTTCAGTTTGAAAGACAGGAAGTTCAATTTCAAAAATTTCTTCCTAATTGTCTCCATTGGTGGCGTCCAAAAGTGCTCAGAACGAAAAAAAAATATGTTGATGTTGCAAATTTAATTGTCTTTCATGCTCTATTGATTCTGAAATTAGGTAACTGTAAAGCCTACTCAAAAAGAAAATAAAGCAAGTAGAGCTTTTCAAAAAAGCTTACCGTCTTTAGCAACAATTTTAAATAGTAAGGCCAATATAAAAAATACCTTTGTTTCCCCTAACGCGACCGACCTAATGAAATCGCGCCGACTGAAAAGATTTTTCAAATAAGATGATTTAAATTTTTTTATTGTCAACCAAGTTTTATAAAATACAATATCATCAAAATCAGTTTTTAACAGAACGGCAAACATTGTTCTGCCGTGATTTTCAAGCATTTGTTGGAAATACTAGTAAAATGGCGAGAATTAGTTCTTCATAAAACAACGGCGACGTCTCAATCTTATGCCTTTAGCTAACTAGAATTCTTCACTCTTGAAACAATTTGAAAATAAAATTTACAATGACTGATTTAGAGTGTTTCGGAGGTGTCTTGTCATCTCCATGTGAGTAAATAAATTTTTGAAAGGGACTGTAAACAACCAACAAACGAATCTGTCAGTTGAATTTAAGGTACGTAATACATGGAAAGGCCAGTCTCATGAGCAGATGAGGGGCCCAACTAGTGAACACATCATTCAATTTCACTGCATTTTATTTAATTTGAGTTTTGATATAATTACCAGTTATGAGGTAATTAGATCAAAACTCATTCATCTATGTTCCTATGTTTACTATATGCCATTATGGAATCATAGGATTTAATGTAAATATGTCTCCATATTCATCCTGATATAATTCAGTTGTCCTTTTTCATGCCTTTATTTACGGGTTAAACTTTGTGACTATGACATTGTGTATAGCATGATTCGGTTTGGTTCATTTAAATATTGTTTACATACTCTTTCCAAATAGTTTTGAAATCATTTCAATTCAGCTTCCTGAGACGTCCGGTGTATTTTTCTTTAAGGTCCTTGAAGATTTGTTGTTTCTTTGCTTTTAATCCCTTCGAGATTTGTTGGGATGACATTTGAACATTTCCCCATTGCTCCAAATGTAGACGTACTACGCACTTTTTTGCCATTAAGGTCTTCAATCCCTAATAGGAAGAAATTCAATGAAATTGAAGACATAACAGATATGTAGGCATTGAATACTTAGTTTATTTAGACATACTTCCCATTTATTACTATTAGTATGTTTAGTGGGATGTGTCCTAATTCATGACCTTGAATTTTCGGTAAGAGTTATCTCCCCTTTTTTAATTAATAAAAAAAAAATCAATTAAAAAAAATTAGCTGGTAAAAAAAATGTTTTGAATTATCATTCTATTTATAATATTTTAATGCATCTTTCCACCACAGGATTTATTGATATTCAAATTATTTGAATTTTTATTATGAAAAAACTCTTTTCCCCATAGACTTCAATGCAATCTTTGTTAATTAATCACTGCTTAATTAATGAACTTTTTAAAAATTTCTCGTGGGCAATCCTTTTCCACTTTAAAATGCTTTAATATAATATCAGAGTATTGTGTACTTGATGGACATTTAAGGGTAGAGAATTTGGTACCATTAGGGATTGAAATCCTTAAGCAATGGGGGATCTTTTTTGAGCCAGCATCTTCTGCGACACTGGACACATATGGTCCCTTAATTTTGAAGGACCGTTTACAACCTTCCTCATTGGTATTTTAACCTGCGACTTAAAATTAGCCACTTACGTCTTAACTCCAAAGCAAAATGCTCCAGAATCACTGCAAATCTCACGGCCCTCAAAAAAGTACATTGATTGTCTATAAGCACTGGAGGCTGATTGAAGGTTTGAAAAAAATATACTCTGATGCCCAGTCTTTGCGTATTTGAGAATCTTGTCTCTTTATTCGATTTATATAAATGTACTCTGGCGTGAGATATTTGACAAAGTCAACTGAATTACAGTTGTAAATTAATAAATCATGAATTTTGCTTTTAAACGGCATATGCATGATACCAGTACTTAGCATTTTGTTCACAAATCAATTTCTTTTGTACTTTTCTTATTTATAAAAGTAACTTTCCATTAATTTTAGAATGTATTTTCAAAGCTGCTATCAGAAAATAAAATTGTTTACCTACCTACCGACCCAACTTGAGAATTTAGGGTCGGGTTAGGGGAAACAAAGATATTTTTAATTCCGGCCTAACAGATCTATACTTCTTTTGAATTTCTTGATTTTGTATTTCTAAATTAGCTTTTTACGGGCATTAGCCCTATCACGGTTGTCGCTCGGTCATCTCCGTAAACGTTGACTGGCCGAGAGCTTTCGGCAAACCTCGGCTGATTCCCATTCACTCTTCAAACAAGAAAGGGGAAAAGAATAATAACAAATTGTAAAGCCTGCAAGCAATAACTATCAAATTTTATTTATAATGAAATTAAAGAGACCTTTTTATTTATCGCTATAAAACATATCATGTTATTAAGAAATAATTACTGCTGATTTTGTTGTTCGTTTTGTCAATTTTTTAAGATTGGAAATCTTGCAAAATTGTTAAGTCGTACGAAAAATATATCATCAGAAAGTTATCTCCCTTGCCTTGAACAGCATTTCAACCAATGAAATAATTGAAAATTTTCTCATCATGCAATTTCTACCAATCACAAAAGAGAGGGTGTGCATAGTCCGACGACTGTAAAAAACTTCAACTATACAATACTGTCTTCCAAGGAAGACGGTAATGATAATTCAAATTCTTAAGATTAATTTATTTGGAGTTCTGTACATAGATCTTTAGCTGGCTAGTCTGAGAAAAACGGATGGACGAGCAGAGAATTTGTAAATTAATTTAATTTCAGAGGGCTTCAGTTTCGTAGGCTCACTGCGGGTCAGCAGGTGTGACCTGTTATTGGGGATGCTTACTTCTCCTAGGCACCGGAACTTTCAGGGATCAGTTTTTCTTTTGAGACCGCTCACTGTTCATTCTGTATTTTGATACACTCAGATACTGAGTACATCTGTTTATTAATATTATGAACTATTTCTCTCACAGGAAGAAAGACAAGTAAACAAGATAATAAAGTTTTAAGAAATGTACACTATTGACTTTAAATACAATAAATGTTCGAATTAGTAAATGGTACATGACAATAATTCAAAAAAGAGTCTTGCAAGCACGATATATATAAACAAACATATACTGAGTATTTGGCAAATATTTAAATAGTGTGATCGTTTATAATCGTTTGTAATAATTAGACTGAGTACAGAATTTATCCCTGGAAACAAAGCTTTCATCATCTTTTAAATAATTTCAATTGAGAAAAAAAGGAGAAGAAAACAAACGTTTCATTATGGAAGTAATCTATAACTGTACAGCTTACAGATGCAGGGTTCTCCATGAGCTGTTTTACTGTGTTGCTTCCGACACAGCAAAATTTTCTCCGACACAGTAACGATTAAAATTTTATGCATGCGACAAAGTAAAAAATAATATATGTGATAATCAGAAAATCAAAACATATAAATTCTCTCAAACTGAAACTTTAATCAAACATAACATTTTACCGAAATCATTAAATTGATAAATTGTTTTAAATTTTCAAGGAACTCATAAGAATATCATCCTGTCCTGAATTTTCCCTATTTTTTCCTTTGCAATTCGGTAATTTGATAAAAAAAAAAACTGACAAAAAAGTACAACAAATTTACTTTCAAAAGTGGTAATTAGTTTGATTGTATCGATCAGAATTTCCCCTGCTTTTCATAGCACGTGCTTTTACTTTTATCAATATGTATGACGAAAATATTTGTACATCGAAATAGTGATTTATTTTAAAAAGTGTGCGCATATATTCCTATATAATTTTAATGAAAAGTAATTCAGTTGCGAATTTGATCTCGAAAATAGCGCGAACTTTTAGTGCTTCACGTAAACTCTGCAACACAGTAAAATTTCAAATGATGGAGAACCCTGCAGATGTATTCAGTTTTGTTTATATAAATGCTTTCTTCATGTACTAGTATTACTTAAGTTAATTAAAGGGATGGCTAAATATTTAGGCAAGGAAAATGAAACTCGATCGAGAGATTCTCCGATGTTTTGCAGTCTGTAATAACCTTCAAATATCGAAACATTCTTTAATGTACAGTTTAAATACACAAGGTGTGCAACGCCATTTTGACCCCCTGTTCAATTCAGGCTTCAATTTAACACATAAATCGGATATACATACTGGTTTTCGTGTAGCATTGGGTTCAAATATGATATTTCTCGCTATATATTTCTTCCTTAAGTTTAAATCCAACGCGTTGATAATGTTATCAGCTAAACTTCATGCTCACTTCGAATTTCGTCACAGGGCCCGATCGCCATCAGCTGACGTCACGGAAATTTAATCTCGACACCAAATGCTCCTATACATAAAATTTTAAAATACAACAATTATAAATTTATTTCATTGACAAACAAAATCAGATAAAAATTAAAAACCGAAAGATTATGTTGTTTTGATAGTCTTGATTTTATTTAACATATGTTATATGTGTTAGAAACAAATTAAGGTAGAGGCTTTGTTGAAGTTTCTATTGTCGATAGGTAGCGCCTTATGGAAGTTTCCGGTGTCGATACATGCCATAAAGCGGTTAGCGAAGCTAACCGCTTAAAAATGGCCCAACTGAAAACTCTTTTTACATTTCAGGACACAGTTTTTTTTCTTTTCATTCCTATTATCCAATTAACAGACATGGAATATTTCTGAAAAAAAAGCTACCTATCGACCCAAATATTTTGCTCTGAGTTGGGAGAGGGCAAGCAATACATTATTTCAAATATGTTTTGATAGGGAGATTTTTGTTTTTAAGAAATAATTATTTCAAAAACTTCTGTTTTAAAATCAAATCCCGAAGAAACTTGTAAATGAATGATATATTTTCTCTTGATTTTTCCAGGGGTGCTGTTAACATTCTTGTCCTTGACCTTGGAAATTTGAAGGTCAATAGTGAGAAAAATAAAGTTGGAGACAGCAAGGTATTTATAGTAACAAACACAAGGCATTTATAATTGTTATGATTATTTAAATATTTATTATTGGAACCTTTCACACTGATAGAAATTATTGATGTAGATTTTGTGGAATTATTGTAACTCAGTTTCAATCAAAAGGACAATTTAGTTCATTATGTGCAAACAGGAGATTTAAAAAAGATTATATATTAAAGAAAAAGATTTATTGTGTGTCCATGACTATTTTTTTTAAACATTCATTTTCGTTTAATTATTAAATAAATTGTGTACCTTCTATTAGTACAATATAAATAAATTCTAATTTTCATTCAGCAAATGGGTTGGAAAGCAGCACAAAAAGTCTTTGATCCAAAGATGGTAGTTTAGTTTACACTATTTTACTTAGAAACAGTGGGTTCCTGCCTGAACATAAAAAAAGCTAGAAATACAATGTCCTCCTGGAACCCACTGCATTTCTTCTGTCTCTATACTTTTTTACTTCCTTTAGAATACATCTTTGGGGTACAAGGTTACCTTGGTTCAGAAATACTTGTTGGATGGAAATATTTCCCTAATTATTGAATGAATTATTTTATTTTTTACATATATTTTTTTTAAAAAAGAAATCTACTGATCTACAATGTTATGGTTTTCTCAGATTTGTTTAACAATGGACAGAATTTTATGGTGTTATAGATGGGGCTAAAGTGCAGGATAGACTCTCCTATTTTAATAATTATAGTTTTTAGCTCACCTGAGCTGAAAGCTCAAGTGAGCTTTTCTGATCACCCGGTGTCCGTCGTCCGTCCGTCCGTCTGTCTGTCCGTCCGTCCGTCTGTAAACTTTTCACATTTTCAACTTCTTCTCAAGAACCACTGGGCCAATTTTAACCAAACTTGGTACAAAGCATCCTTGGGTGAAGGGGAATTTAAATTGTTAAAATCAAGGGCCAAGACCCCTTCCAAGGGGAGATAATCAAGAAAATACGAAAATAGGGTGGGGTCATTAAAAAATCTTCTTCTCAAGAACCACTGGGCCAGAAAAGCTGAAATTTATGTGGAAGCATCCTGGGGTAGTGTAGATATTAAATTGTTAAAATCATGACCCCCGGGGGTAGGGCGGGGCAACAATAGGGAATCTAAGTTTTACATAGAAATATATAGAACAAATCTTTAAAAATCTTCTTCTCAAGAACCACTGGGCCAGGAAAGCTGAAACTTATATGGAAGCATCCTTGGGTAGTGTACATATTAAATTGTTAAAATCATGACCCCCGGGGGTAGGGCGTGGCTACAATAGGGAATCCATATTTTACATAGAAATATATAGAACAAATCTTTAAAAATCTTTTTCTCAAGAACCACTGGGCCAGGAAAGCTGAAACTTAAGTGGAAGCATCCTTGGGTAGTGTAGATATTAAATTGTTAAAATCATGACCCCCGGGGGTAGGGCGGGGCCACAATAGGGAATCTAAGTTTTACATAGAAATATATAGAACAAATCTTTAAAAATCTTCTTCTCAAGAACCACTAGGCCAGGAAAGCTGAAACTTATGTGGAAGCATCCTTGGGTAGTGTAGATATTAAATTGTAAAAATCATGACCCCCGGGGGTAGGGCGGGGCCACAATAGGGAATCCAAGTTTTACATAGAAATATATAGAACAAATCTTTAAAAAATCTTCTTCTCATGAACCACTGGACCAGAAAAGCTGAAACTTATGTGGAAGCATCCTTGGGTATTGTAGATATTAAATTGTAAAAATCATGACCCCCGGGGGTAGGGCGGGGCCACAATAGGGAATCCAAGTTTTACCTAGAAATATATAGAACAAATCTTTAAAAATCTTCTTCTCAAGAACCACTGGGCCAGGAAAGCTGAAACTTATGTGGGAGCATCCTTGGGTAGTGTAGATATTAAATTGTTAAAATCATGACCCCCGGGGGTAGGGCGGGGCCACAATAGGGAATCCAAGTTTAACCTAGAAATATATAGAACAAATCTTTAAAAATCTTCTTTTCAAGAACCACTAGGCCAGGAAAGCTGAAACTTATGTGGAAGCATCCTTGAGTAAAGTAGATATTAAATTGTTAAAATCATGACCCTCGGGCATAGGGCGGGGCCACAATAGGGAATCCAAGTTTTACATAGAGATTTATTGAACAAATCTTTTAAAATCTTCTTTTCAAGAACCACTAGGCCAGGAAAGCTGAAACTTATGTGGAAGCATCCTTGAGTAGTGTAGATATTAAATTGTTAAAATCATGACCCTCGGGCAAAGGGCGGGGCCACAATGGGGAATCCAAGTTTTACATAGAAATATATGTAGAACAAATCATTTAAATAGATCTGCATCACCCAAGTTATTCAGGTGAGCGATGTGGCCCATGGGCCTCTTGTTTTTATTTCAACTTCTTTTTTGCATGATTTTTTTTAAAAATACTGTAATTCTCTATTTTCTTTTTTTTCTGGAATAATTTAGATTTTTATAAAGACCTTGTGATTTAATTTCCTCTCTCTTTATGAGAGGGAATATTGGTGTAATACTATAAATATCACATGGTACTCAGTTCTACATATTTTTCTTTTTTTCTCATAAATTCAAAATTTCTGCTTTACAAACTAGTAATTTGACAATGAAGACTACAGAATTAGATATGCAGTGTGAAATTTTCATTGAAAACAGAATTCTGAATGAGATTAGTGGATAAGTGTATACTTAATTAATAGCTAGCTGCCCAATGTCAGCATATTATTAACAATATTCAACACTGTAAGCTGTAACACTAATTATATGTTTTGTTTTACAGGAAATATTAAGTATTTTGATGACAATAATAGATTACAGTGAAACTTGTCCATCTGGATTTTATCTTATCCTAGATCTTGCCTTTAGTGATCTGAATAACTAGTCCCTTGTCAGTTGTTTTGAAAAAAATATCTCCCAAATGAAATTTTTAACCAAACCAATATCTTTTGAACCACTGGTATACTATAATATGAAATATATGGAGATTATGAAGAGTATTCAAACTCAAAAGTCCATCAAACAATACAAATGTTGGAGCAGAAGTGGGATCAGTTACCATGGAGAACTGAACATCCCCTGTCTACTTATTTCTCCCTGGATAGTATATAGACCTATGAATATTGCTGCCCTAATCCCAGACACAGCATAGTATCATATCCTGGTACTCTTATTTCTGTCTAAAGCTGTACCATTTGTTTTCCAGTCCTTAGCTGTAGAAGACATGATGTCCAGGGCCTACGACAACTTCAAAATCAAGCTGGATCAGATACAAATATTATTCGCAAAACCAGGTAAAAAAAAATCAATTAACTTGGTCAGTAGTTTTTTTTTTTTTTTTCACTCTGCAAGATTACATTAAATTCTCTTTTATTTGTAAATTTGATATTGATGAAAATTCTTGAACACTTTTCTTTGTAAAAGTTTGTATTCTATGTTTTAAGCATTTATCTGGGTTGTATTCAA